CCCCAAAACCCCAAAACCCCAAAACCCCAAAACCCCAAAACCCCAAAACCCCAAAACCCCTAATTCACAAGTTAAAATTGATAGATTTTGCTAGTATTAAATTTTTTTGAATTTAACAAACTTGAGAAATGCAAGGCATCATTCCATTAATCAATAAAATCCAGGAGGCTCTTAGTACTACTTCTGGGAGGTAAGAGATTGAATTACCGCAATTAGTGGTGGTAGGCTCCCAGTCGTGCGGCAAGTCCTCCGTCTTGGAGAGCATCGTTGGCAAAGATTTCCTACCAAGAGGCAATGGGATTGTTACTAGGAGACCTTTGGTACTCCAGTTGTACAATATTGCCTCTACGAAGGAATATGCCTTCTTCTCTCACCTCGACAAAGAATTCACCAGCTTCAGAGAGATCAAAGAGGAAATTATTAGAGAGACTTGCAGAGTTTGTGGGGACAATAAGGGTGTTAGCACAGATCCTATCTTCTTAAAGATCTTCTCCAATAATGTTATCAATCTTACTTTAGTTGATCTTCCAGGGATTACCAAGAACCCTGTAGGTGACCAGCCAAAGGACATTGAGAAGCAGATTAATACCCTCGTACATGACTTTATTTCAAGGGAAAATACCATAATTCTGGCTGTTCCCCTGCAAACGCTGATATTGCCAACTCTGATTCTTTAAAAATGGCCAGAAAGGTCGATCCAAAGGGAGAGAGAACCTCTGGAATTATCACTAAGGTAGACTTAACGGATGAAGGCACAGATGCATTGGAGCTTCTCCAGGGAGAAATTTACCCTCTAAAATTAGGCTACATCGGAATGGTCTGAAGGTCCCAAAAAGAGATCAATGATGGCACTACTATCGTTGATTCTATCAAACAGGAGGAGAAGTTCTTCAAGACCCATCCTGTGTACCACAAGATGTCTCACAACCTTGGTATCAGTGCTCTATCTAGCAAACTGAATACTTTATTCAATGCCTTAGATAGTTTGCACCCACTAAAGATTATTAGTGATGACGACATTCATACATCTGTCGAGAATGCTTCAGCACTGACACCAAGCCTCTTCGTGGAGGAGAAAGCATTCCACATATTGGTGAAACAACAAATAGCTAGGTTGCAGGAACCAGCTCTGCAGTGTGCAGAGCAGGTCTTCACAGAGCTAAGAGACTTGGTCTCTTCTATCTGCTTACCTGAGCTGGAGAGGTAAAGAAGCTTCATTTTGCTATCATTGATGTATTAAATAATCTGCTTGCAGATTATTTAGAGCCCACTATGCAAATGATCAAAAATCTGATCGCTTGTGAGGATGCCTACATCAATGTCAATCATCCTGACTTTATTGTGGCCAAGGATGCCCTGTTGAACATCTTCAAGAAGGGCAATGATCCCCCTCCAGAAGAGAACGTGTTTGAGAAAATTGAGGAAAACAACAATATTTATAGAGACTCAGACCAGGAATCAGAGGAAGAAGATGATGAAGAGGAGATGCTTGAGGAAGGCTATACCAGAAGAGAGTTCTTCGATAATCTCATGGAACAAGACAATGTTAATGAAGTCGAGCCTGATAATAAAGCTGGATCTTATCTGAAGAGACCTTCTAATAAGAACGAAGTCAAATACTTTATAGGATATGAAGCAGAGAACAACATGATCACACATATTCCTCAGGTTGGCCTTATCAAGCCACCTAAGAAGATGAGAGTTGATATTGATCCAAACGGTAGAGAGATTGTTGAAACCCAGATTATCAAGAACTGCCTCTCTTCCTACTTCAACATTGTCAGGAAGCATATCGCAGATCTGGTTCCAAAGACCATCATGGCATTCTTAATTAATAAGGCCAAGGAGAACTCCCAGCAGATCCTGTACACAAGCCTGTGAGAGCTAGAACTCCAAGACTTGATGGGAGAAGATCCAATGATTGCGGAATGTAGGAAGGAATGTCATAAGACCCTAGAGAATCTCTCTAGAGCAATCGAGCTCATCAACGAGGCTCAGGACTACAACTACTTCAAGGAGGAGTACAAGATTAGCAGTGCTAAGCTAGGGAAAATGACCTTTGAGGACACTAAGGAAGATGATGTCGAGTAGATACTTTACTTTACGACTCTCAAGCAGCACCTGCATGCATATTTGTAGCTAAACAAGGCCAATAATTTGTAAAATTTTGGGGTTTTGGGGTTTTGGGGTTTTGGGGTTTTGGGG